TAAAGCAAAGCTTTTCTCTGGCCATCCAGGGAGTAGAAGGGCCTAGGGCCTTTTTACCATGAGCCATAGTTGGAGCAATTAGATCTGTGAGGTCTGAAAGGGTGTGATTGCCCCAATTTTCCAGGTGGTTTCAGTTCCTATGTTTTTCCCTAAGGGATGTCTGTACTGCTTTCATGTTGTCTGGTGTTGATAGTGTTTGCAGTGGGGTGAGGTTAGCCTCAGATTTGTAATTCACTGGCAATTTGGAGTTATCTTTGATTCCTTTCCCATCCGTCTGGTCCTCTCTTTCTCACAGAGACTTGTACCTTCAGCCGGGTACATCCCAAGCCTGCTCATCTTATTACCCATTAATACTCATTTGTATTGTATTTGGAGTCATTTGGATTATATTTATTTCCTGTTGCTACTGTAACAAATTACTGCAAACTTAGTGGCTTACACAACACAAAGATATTACTCAGTTTGGGAGGTGAAAATTCGTAAATAGGACTCACTGGGCTAAAATCAAGGTATTTACAGGGTTGCAATTCTTTTGTGAAGACTTTAAGGAGGTCTGCTTTCTTGCCTTTTTTTATTTTACAATGCACCTTTAAAATTTTTTTATATGATTAAACATTTTCTCATTTTGTCTTGTTTTGCCATTAAAAACTTTTTCCTTTAAAAAAAAAACTTTTTTCTTTTATATTTAAATAGTAAATAATAAGTACAGTACACCACCATCCCCACACCCACTCTGCGTCCCTTCCCCAGACCCTCCACTCTCTCCTCTATTTCTTCTGATAACCATTTTTTTGTCAAGGTCAAATTTTTATTTCTTCCATTGTTTGCATGTAATTGTTTTCTAGGTATTTATATTTCACAAATGAGTAAATATCTGAAATGTGTATTTTATCTTTTGGCTGATTTCACTCAACATAATTACCTCAATGTCCATCCATATTGTGTTTTCTTGCCTTTTCCAGCTTTCTGGAGGCTGTCTACATTTCTTGCCCACATACCATATGTTGCGTGGTATTTAAAAAATATTTAAACTCTATGTAAATAGTATCATGATGTATTTATCATGCTGCAGCTAGTGTTGATGCTCATGGTGTTTTTTAAATTTGTTTGTGTTGAAGATTTGTTTGTGTCTCCAGTTCATTTATTTTAAACATTAAATGGGAAGAGTATCCCATTTTATGATTCTATATGCATAATTCATCAGTTCTCTTGTGGATGGACATTTAGATTGGTTCTGATTTTTTTTTTTGTATAAGCAATCCTGGAATAAACAGTCTTATTAGACATGTGTCCATGAAGACATGGGAAAAAGCATCTTTAAGTTCCATACTCAAGAAGAGAATGCCTTCTTGAGTCCCAGGTGAGGAGAATAATCAGCTTTACTAGAAGTTGTCAAGTGTCTATCCAAGGAAGTTTCTACCAGTTTATTCTTCCACCTTAAATTTATAAGAGTCCTTTTTTCCCTCCACATAAAAGAATCAGAGCTTTGTTCGGAAAAGATCACTCTGGTTGCAAAGTAAAAAGTGACTTGAGTAGAAGGGAGCAAAGTAAAAAGTGAGTTGGGTAAAAGGGAGCAAAATTCTCATCAGCCAGGTTTCCTCAGCACCAAGCTCGTGCTAAAGAACTTTCCACACATCACCACGCTGTATCCTCAAGCCAGCAACAACAGAATTCGCTGATTCTCAGGTGTTACCAGTCAACCAGCAAATCCTGTGGGCAATTGAACTACTGTCCTTTGTAGAAAATTTATATTTCTCTTTTTAACAAGACTCAAGCCTGGGAGTGTGCTCCATGGTGCTCTTCTGCAGTTTTAGTGTTTTCGCAGCTTTGGCAAAGCCTGGGTTGTTTATTATGCATGTGTTGTATTGCAAATGTGGAACAAATGAAGCCGAGATATCAAATTAATACTGTGATCTGTTTTTCTGTTTTGTTGCCATAACAATCTGTGACTCTTGAAGCAAAGAGAAAATTAGAATTGTATTAAAGGTGTTTACACCATGTAACTCCATCCTGCATTATTATTTATTGCTATAATAAGTGTATTTAACATTTCCTTCAGGAGGGTTAAGTTTGGCTACTTTTTTGCCTTATGGTTTTCCCCCTCCACCTTTCAACCTGACTTTGCTTTTGACCTTTGCTTTGGTCAGATGCCTCAACACTCTCTGATTCCTTCTATTTATCCTTCCTCTTCACTCCCCAACCCTTGGAGCTCTTTAGAATCAAGAGTCTTGGTTAGAAACCCAAACAGGATGGAGTGAGTTTTCTTTTTTCTTGGTCCCATTTCTCCCCTCTAAATCTGAATAGGAAACCAACATCCTTTGGAAGAGCTGAAGAGGTGCTGGGCGGTGGGACAAAAGAGAATTGGAGAAATTGATGCCGCAGAAGAAGTGGTGTGGAAGTCGATATGGAAATAGAGAGACAGGGGGCGGGTACCTTGAGATGGAGATCATGTTATTCTATTTCCGATGTCAAATATTTAACTGCTCAGAGTCTTCTTTGAGTGAGACCCTTAATTCCCCCACCGTCATAGATTATTGTTCTATGTAGGCACCCAGGTGGTTGAAATGTGGGGCTGGTATGGCAGAAATCCTATCACTAGCTAGATATATGTGGATGTCTGTTTCTGATGGTCTATTGTTCTCAGCCTACATTTTCTAGAATTACACTGGGCACACATGAGGAACTCAAGAAGACTTAATTTGCTGATTATTTGAGTCACAGTGATGACAATCTTTGGTGAATTACACACACTTTAGAATATCTGTAGCTCCAGAGATAATAGAATGTGAAGAGGTATTTCTGATCCCTCTTATAAGAGTCATCCCAGTGTCTTCTTTTTATCAGAGAAGAACATGGTTGGGGGGTGGGATTGGGGAATCTGCATATTAATGACTATGCAAAAATATCAGGGTCACAGGGACCTTAAGTAAATAAATTAAAATGATGTCCTGCTATTGTTCTTTATTACCCAAGGGACCATGAGTCAAATTTAAAGCCCAGGGCTGGACTCTTGTGTTGAGTTTCTTTTTGAGCATAACAGACTCAAACCTGGGATGGTCCCTGGTCATGTCAGCAATAGAGATGAAAGAAAACCCATTGGTGCTAAGAAAAATCAACCTTCCTCTCAAGGCCAGACTTAGAGTCTTTCTCAAATTCCTACATGAGTGCACGCGTGCACACACATACACACACACCCCCGCCCCTGCGCTCACAAGTATGTGTGTGAGTGGTCATCGTATTGTCACACAGGAGGAAGATGCTTGTGACTATGGCAACTTCAGTCCCGATGGAGAGGTGTGAATTGGAAGGAATATTAATCAGGTTGTGGAGGGAAATACTGGGAGGCAGGATGAGAGTGGTAGAGGATGTAAGACTGTTGGGTAAGGCTGGCCCTCATTATATCTTTTAGATCTTGCTTACAGCTTCTCTTTTCTGAAGGGATACCCATCCCAAGTCTAAGGGAGAGGCCCCTTTCAAACCAGGGAAGTGGTAGGCAAAAGACAAATGGAGACCCAGTGTGGTCACCCCCAAACTCTGTCTTTTTATTTTTGTGAATAACCTATTTGAAATGTTCCCTCTCGGTGGTCACATTTTTCTCTCACTGAGCCAGTTCTGATCAAACTCCTTTGTCCATTGGATCTAAATTGCATGTAAAGTATCATATCCACTACTTATGTTCAGACACCAATTCCTACTCTAAGGGTTAATGTTATAGTGTGTTTATTGTCATGCCAGATCCTTACTGAGGTTTAGTGACATGAAGTAATTTGTTCAGGTTCACACAAAGCTTAAATACCTGGTTTCTGAGTATCTTGCAATTTTGTTTGCTTTAACAAGCCTCATTGTGTATGTATGTGATGAGAGACCTGGGGACTTTGTGGAATTTCGTTTGGTTCAAGTCCCTTGTGTTTACATGGTCTGAATGTCAGTGACTGACACATAGTTACAAGAGGACATGCTGCAGTACTTGCAGAAATATGTGCTTCTTACTTCACATAATATATGACAGTTTTATTTGTTTGAAATGAATTCCTGACAGTAGCTCCAACTCTGGATTCTGCAGATAAAAGACCCCTAGTAATGCTTCCCTTAAGACATTCATGAAATGTGTGCATTTTCATTTGTGTGGGAAGAAATGTTACATCATCTCCCAACTCACAGGGATACATATACCTTTTAAACCGATACACTATCCTGACTGAGGGTACCAGAAAAGAGGGCTTCATTCTTCCAAAGTAGGTTGCCAGATTTTGCAATTAAACATTCAGGATGCCCACTTAAATCCAAATGAGAAACACAAGAAATTTTTAGTACAGGTATATCCCATACAATATTTGGAATATACTATTAGTGAAAAGTTATTTGCTGCTTATATGAAGTTCAAATGTAACTACCTTCTGGTATTTTCTCTAGCAACCATTCCTAAAGGGAGTGTGAAATTCAAGAATAATAATAAATACTTCGTTTTTAAGTTTAAAAAATGTGGTTTAGTATAAAATAGAAATATAATAACACATTAGAAATGTGTCATTAGGTGTAAGGTGCTAATATCATAGAGTGTCCTTACATGAACTTAGCAGGTGTAGCCTATTGGGACCATTATGATATAGGCTGTTTGCCCTTCACTGAAATGTTCTAACTGAAGCACGCGGGACTGTGGGAAGATACTTGCTTAGTTTTTTTCTGCCTTTGGAGGGTGGGTGGGGAAACCCTCTGGCACCTAGAAGGGGTAGCGGGCTGGAGCCAAGGAAGAAAGAGACAATGATGCTGTAGCTGTCTCCCAAACCTCTCTTTGCTCCCCTGGTAGCGAGAGATTCCTGGGGCACCTCTCAAGACCCAGGAGCCTTCCCTGAGTGGGAACCAGGCTGCAGGTGTGGCCTGCAGCAGCCACCCCTACCCGCAGCCACGCCCACTCTCCTAGCCAGTCGGGTCCTCTGGCAGCCGGATGGCCTTGGGTTCCTGGAGGCCTCGCAGGTCTGCGGCGCTGCCTGGAGGTGCACACTGCCTCCAAGGGTCCCCCAGGTGTGGCGGCACTAGTACCGCTGTGCCCCTGCCTGGAGCCAAGCCAGGACACTGTCTCCACCCAGCGCACCTGAGAGTGGAACGTCCCTTCGGGCTCCCCCCAGGTAAGCCCGCGCGACAGTAGAGCCTGAGGAAAGCCATACAAAACCTAATATCGACCTTTACTCAGAAAACCTTAAATGGACTCGATTAAAGGAGGCTCAAATGAGTGGAAAAATACTGTTTTTGGAAACGTCAGGTCATGCTTAGAGACATCAGTGGCTGCTGCTTGAGACAGCTGTGCCAACCAGGCTGGGGTGAGGCCCCGGCATGTTCATGCAGGTCACCAAGGTTTCCTGTCTCAGGGGTGTTGCTGGCAGTGGTCAAGACTGGGGTCTAGTGACCCGGAGGCCAGGCCTAGCGGACACCTGGCCATGACCGGGGCCCTTGGCTTGCGCCCATGCAGGAGAGCGCGTCCTCTCCGCCCCCAAATGCGTGTGCACTCTCTTCCCATGGCCCTTCTCAGTGGGCTGTGCCCAAGGAGCATACCGGCCTCATCCGTGGGGAGTAGGAATGAACCCCACTTGACCTCCTGACCCAAGTTCTTAGCATCCATGGGCCAAGATGGTTACTAGGGAAACCACTGAACATTAACTGCTGTGCTTTTTATTGGTGGTTTGGCTTTAAATGCTTGACGTCTGAAATAGTTTGCTCACTTATAAAATGTAAAAAAGCGCCTGCATCCGTGCGTCTCTCAGAATTAAATGAGATAGTGTGTATAGAGCCAATATCGAACTATGCCTGGCACGAAGCAGAAGTATGGTTGTTGGGCACTGTTGGGTAGAAGCAGTTTGTTTTTGGGCAGCCTCCTGACCACAGTTCCCCTCCCCCCTGTCTGGCTTGTTGTGCTATCTTGTTTTATTGAAATCACCTTGCAAAGGAGGACCATTCAAGCTCCAGGTGGAACCTTTGTCGTTAAACTTCAGTATTATTGCGCTTTTGATCTCATTGTGAAATGCAAGGCTGTGATTTCTATGTGGCGCTTGTTAGGAAGGAATTATTTGGAGTAGGGAGATTCTGGGAATTATAGCACAGATGGCAGGTGCAGCCTGAGTGGAGTGAGGTGGCACAGCGCTAGGCATTGGTCTGGGCTCTGCCCCTGGCACATGGTAATCTTTGAGTTTCTCCAGTGGTTGGTGCAGGAGATGCCTGGGTGCTAGGAGCTAGTGGGCACAACTCCAAACTGTGACCCTCTGGATTTTGAGGGTAACACTGCAGCAGATGTCTGTTCTTGGATCCGGGAATTAGCCTCAAAGAGGAAAGTCAGCAGAATGAGACTAGGGCCTTCATGCACACAGGGCCATGACTAATGTGCGTTTACTGTAGTTTCCAACTGCAAGAGAGGAAAGGCTGCTAATTAGAGGAACTAATACTACCTGGAGAGTTTGGCTGATCCAGGTGGGGATAGAAAGAGTCTGATGCAGAAAATGTGGTGGCAGCCATTTTGATATGGCCATGACAAAGGAGAAAATAACAGGTGTGCTTTTTTTAACCAAGTAATGTGCACGTTAGATGATGCTGACCCTTAACCTGTTTGGACTTCATACTCACCCTGCTCTTAAGCCAAGGATGGGATAAGGGTGTGTAGGGTGTCTGGGGTAGGGTGAGTTTTTGAGCAATACAGGTAGTAATAAATGGTGAAAGTTTTTATAAGGTTAGCTCTGCCAATGCTTTCTTGTGTCAAGTGGCTATTTCATTCATAGAGTTTCATGGGTGAGCGTGGAGCTTGGCAATCCTCTGATCAGCATGGAAGAAGGAACTAAAACGTGATCTACCCGATAGAAACCCTAGGCTTCTGTTCCCAAGTGGGGGCAGTAGGAGAACCTCTGGGGCAAAGTGAACTCTTTTTTTTTTTTTTAACAATTTTTTTTTTAAGATTTATTTATTTTTATGCAAGAGCTGGGGTACAGGCAGGAGGCATGGGAGGGTGAGAGGCTTCACCAGAGACAGAGCGGGGAGCAGAACAGGCAGGCGGACCGAAAACACTGCTGAGGGGAGCAGTGGGTGAGACAGGAGAGGTCTGCTGTGCCATGTGGGTATCTCCCTGGCAGACCAGGAATCGAACCCGTGCTGCAGAGGCTGCAGACAGTGTCACAGCGCTGCGCTCAACCTGCTGTGCTGCTAGGGAGGCCCGCAACGTGGACTCTTGAATGGAATGTTACACCCCAGTGTCCCACAGTGCCTGTGCTCATGTCCTTTTGGGAAGGGGAGAAATAAAACTGCACCCTGCATCTTATTCAGTAAAGAACCTTTCTGTTGACACATTTGCAAGGTGAGCCCAACCATTCCCAGAACTTTAATGATGGTCCCTAACAGGTTTTCCACATCTCTTCTTGGCCCTGACCTCCTGAGATGGAGACCAGGAAAGAGTTGAACTTGACATGAACTCATGCCATTACCCACAACCCTCCCACTCCTTTGGCATCCATCTCAAGGATATTTACTACCACCTTTGGCTTTATCCACACCACACCTGCAGCTTTCCCCTGCTATCTGAAAGTAGACTGTTTTCTTTTCGGTATGAATTGATAGGTTATTTTAGGGAATCTGGGAATGTTATTAACTTACATGGAAAATATTTTGAGTACGCCCAGACACCCAAAATAACCTACCAGATCATACCAAATAGAAACATTGTACTTTAGGATAGGGGGTGGAGGAGACCTGTAATTCTTTGTACTTTTTTTCCCCCATGTCTGAATTTTCTATAAAATTGCTCTAATGCTTTAGAAGTATTTTGGAAATACCTCTAAACTTGTTTTGCCCTTCTCTGGTCTAATTGCACTTTTCTTCTTTGCTTACCTGAACTATTAAAATATCTTTGGGTCTGGTCTTTTGTTTATAATGTTTGTGCTCCTTAATTCCTGTAGGAAAAAAATCTCAGATCCCTGGTTTGGAATAGGTCTTGTAACAGCCTAATATCAACCTTGGTGTTCCCAGTAGTCACCCCCTCTTCCAACTTGCATTGCCTCCCAACCAAATCAGTTTTGCTGTGAATTCTTTCCTGAAAGCTTCACCTTTTTCTAGGTTCTAAAATCCTCACTCGCTTCGTGTTCAGGATTAACATATTGTGTCATAATTATTTATCCCTCTATCCAAGTAATCTTTTTTTTTTTAAAGTTTATTTATGCATATAAGAGCTGGGGTACAGGCCAGAGATGCAGGGGGTGACAGAATTCACCAGAGACAGAGTGGGGAACAGAACAGGTGGATCTACTGAAATACACTACTGAGGGGAGCAGTAGGGGAGACAGGAGAGGCCTACTGCACCATGTGAGTTGCTCCCTGGCCGGCTGGGGATTGAACTGGTGCTGTAGATGCTGCAGATTGCTTCATAGTGCTGTGCTTAACCCCTTGCGCCACCAGGGAGGCCCTATCCAAGTAATTTTATGCAGATAAAGAATCCCCAGAATTCTAAAGGGCTAGATTTTCCACCAGTATTTTCTAAAGTGTGTCTTAGAACACTGGTTCTGCTGGATGTTTATCCATACTTAATATAGTGCTTAAGGTATTATTACACTTATATGTAGGTATGTGTTGTTATTATTATCATATCCATTTTACAAATGAAGAAACAAATAGCTAATAAGTGGCAGACCAGACAGGATTCAAATGCAGGCAATATTGTTCCCAAGGCCATGCTTTTAACTGTCACACTATATTATCCTTCACTTAATAGCCATTACAGGTTTTCCCCCCAATTTTCAAAGTTCGTGGTTTGGAGAGAATGCAATACAATGCGGGACGGCGGCAGAGGAGCTGGCCCTGAGGTCTTCCCCAGTCCTGTATCTCTACCAAAGGCAGAGCTGAGCAAAGTGGCACTCTGTGTGCTCATGCTTCCCATCTGGGCAGCTATGGCACCCCCTATCAGCTCTACTTTGCTTTCATGAAAGGCCTGCATTAGCACCTGTTTTTGCTAACAGAAGGAAATCCAAAGAGGGTTTTCGCTTTTACAACTAAAGGCTATAAAGCAAAAATAGCATTCAGAGTTGGTTTTGTTGCAACCATTCTAGAGCAGCAAGAGTGGCACCTACGTTTCTTCCCCTGGAACTATTTCCCATATAGGTTCACATACGTTCCCATCTATCATTCCTGCTTTTACAGTATACTAGTGTACTTTAGGTTTTATGTAGTATTTGTGTGCGTATGTATCTCATTCTGTATATGACTTGGTTGTTTTTGGGTCTGGGAAGCTAGCTATTTTTTTCATATAAATTAATGCTAATTGCTTCTTTGCCATATGCCATTCTGGCTTATAGAAAGTCTTTATGGGAATATGCTACTTTTAGATAGCAGATAATGGGGAAAGGTGTATTTGATATAGAGTTTCAAGAACGAATGCCCTATTTAACCAACACTGGGTTCAATGGATCTTATTGACTGGGTGCAGAGACTTTGCAGAACTTTTCATGTTAGTACACGTTGTGAATTTCTAGAAGGATGATATAGCTAACATTTCTCACACTTTCTTGGCTACCAAGGCCTTTTCTCCCCCCATAGATTATCTCTCAGGTTAATTTTCTATGGACTATAATTTGGAAATACTGCTTTATATCAGTGTTTCTGAGTTCATATCAAATTGTAAGTTAATAAATCATCCAAAATTTAAAGTGGACAATAGTCCTTACATAGGTGTGTAATATATATTTATATTTGTCATATTTTTAAATGAGTCCCCAGTATTTCCTTTTTTGTTTATCCTAGCCTATCAGAGGAGGCTGCCTTCCTCATTTTAATCAAAGGAACAGGGACGTTGAATTGGGACTCTCCCCTGTTCTGCAGGGGGTGGGATACAGGTGAAAGCCAATAGGCGTCACCAACATTTTATGCAACTGTGCTGAAGTTGATGTTAGGAATATGGGTATGTCTAGGTCTGTCGGAGAAACTGAACAGGGTGCCTGGATGGTGGAACGTGTACTCACAGTAGGATGGGAACTGGACAGAGTGGGCTGGGTAGAGAGCAAGCTTGTGGGCTCTGGAGCCTGCAGTTGCAGGGGGATTGTGATGGTCCTATCAGCTCTGCTTCTCACGCCGGACCCCCATCTGTCATTCTGCCTCCTTTTAC